GGGGTAGGGGTGAAGAAGAGGCAATTAAAAATTAAAATAATTAGACACAATTAATTAATTAATTAATTAATCTCCCACAGACAATTAAAGGGCCAATTCGTAGGTTGAATTATTATACATATGTAGACTTTTCAATTGGTCGATTTTTCATCTGTTTAACTTTTGACACTTGAATTTTCTTTTGTCCTAACTATTTTTTTTTCTAGAATAGGTAAATATTTATTTATTTTAATTAAAACAGTTCAAAATTTTAGTGGTATAATATTATTTTATATCTTAGTTAACAACAAATAAGAAAAAATATATAAATCTATATAAGAGTAAATAAAAGTAGCCGACAACATTACAAATTTATATTATATTATATTATATAAAAAATTTAAAAAATAAATAAATAATTTTACTAGTGAACCTAACTTGAGAAAATTATAATAAACATATGATTGTGAAGAATCTCACTGACCGTACTCGAGGAGGTCCTAATAAATATTTATGGATACATTAACCAGAGCAATTAATTAATTAAACTAATTTTTATTTGAATTAATTACACTTGAAATAGAATCTTGACAACATCACGCGGTCTTCATATCCATAATATTATACAACCCGATCTTGTATACAACTCTCTCGTTTGGTTGTTAAAATACGATTTTATATGCATGGAATTGCATAATTAGACTAATAGAGGTCCAATATATATATATTTTCAATGAATTAATTAATACAAGCGCTAATATATATTTCTCGTAATTGCGGGTCAACCTGAAAAATTGTCGGACAAACCAAACATCAAACGTAAGAAAATTATTAAAAAGTGTGAGTTCCTATTGTAAACACTTCCTATATTACTATTATTGTTGTAGCATTTCAAAATCTTTTTTTTCTAAATCTTTTTTTTCTTCTTTATATCTTTCCAAATCAATAATTACACTATTTATAAATATTGGCTTAAACAAAACTTTTTTAGTGAAGTGGGGTGTGTGACTTAAACACGTCAACGTTCAATTATGTTAGGAAGATTAGAATAGACCCTTTTTTTTTTTTTTACAAGTAAATAATGTATAAATAAATAAATTAGAATCGACCCTTTTTCTTTTATAAATAAATTAGAATAGACCCTACTTGCAAGAGTTTTGTTGAATACGTCTTATGAGGTAGATCATAATCGCATATTAAAAATGTATATATTTCACTAATAATACGACAAGTGTTTTCTAACAACTAATGGTACATATCGTTGCGTTTGTGGCTATTTATAATGTTGTCAGAGAGAGGGACACACAGAGTAACACATTTCTCTAAGATTCAAACGCTTTTCTGACTTCAATCTTCGTCTTTTGTGAGTACATCGAATTTTTTTGAGTGAAACATTGCATTTGTTGAGTGATTGAGAGTGTTCTCGGCTGATATGTTGACCGTGCATGTGTTGGTGAGTCAATTCAGTGATGAATAGGATAAATATAGGATTTCTGATTTTGGACGAATGCTTTGTGCCTGAAACCTCTTCGTAGGTTTTTTTGGGTTTCGGGTTTTCGGGTAATAACTATTAGCCATAATTAATTTCTTAAAAGTTGCTTTGCACCCCACAACACAATCTTAAATTGGACACGTAAAATGACGTGTATATGGATTACATCTACATATATACATCATTTAAGACAAGAAGATTGTGCATTTGGATGATGTTCCTTTTTGGATTTGCATTATTGTTTTTTCTCCACAACTCGAATAAAACCATGGCCCGAAATTCCACCTCATTTAAAAAACTTATATATATATATATATATATATATATATATATATATATATATATATATATATATATATATATATATATATATATATATATATATATATATAAATGTGGTTTAAGATTGGAAGTAAGAAATGACACGATATGGACAAGATGTCATTTTTGCATGTAGAGGTGGACAAATGGTTCATCAATAAATATAACGCAAATTACGACCACTTCTTTGAGTAAGGTTAAATTACGAAAAAAACTCTCATGTTTGAATAATTATATTTAGTCCCTCAATTATATCAAATCTTATACGTCTACTCTTACGATGTCAAAATTAGCTACTGAATGAGGGTTTTTTTTCATAAATTACTTCATAGTTTAGAGGGTGGTTGTAATTATCTAAACATGAGAGATTTTTTAATCATTTGGATTTACTTCAGAGGGGTGGCAGTAATTTGACCTAAATATATCAACAGATACATATATAAAAAAAAAAAAAAAAAGAGAGAAAAAAAGTTGGATGAATTTGAAAATATATGAATTCTATTGCCCTATGTTATACGAACACATCAATAAGAAGTTGACAATCAATAGAATTACTAAATCATGTTGTCAAAGAAACTATTTTTTGGAATTTTGTGCCAATTATTGAACTTTATTTCTTCCTCAGATAAGATTTTGCTTAATTGCTGACCATGCATACAAATATATCAAAATAAAAAATAAATCAAATAAATAAATAACTGTGAATAAAACAGAAATCTGAAACCTAGTGAATAATTTAATGCAATGGCTTCTTTCATTTATTTCAAATGTTATACAGACAGACAATCCTTTATCATGTGAATACAATTTTTTTTTTTTTTGCAGCATATATATAAGATGTAGAATGAGGGATGAAGAGTTCTTCTCAGGTGTACCGTACCGATCTCAGCGTATCGTCGGGGCCCGCCATAGTTTTCAGACATTTAGCTAGAAAAAGACGACAAGTTTACTGCGAGGAGCCGACTCTAAATATATTTCAGACAGAGAAACTAAACAGCAGCTTCAACTTTTAAGGATGATTGCACAATCTCAAGTGCTTCCTCAACCGAAGATGCTTTCTCGAGTTTCGCTTTGTCAACAAAAGGCTGGCTCCTTGCGATTTTAGGAAGAAGTTGAAACTCCTGTAATAACACAACCAATAATCAGAAGAGAAAAACGTAATTAAGCAAATATAAGTACATAATTAGTCAATAGGACTTAATAGCGATAACCAAACGAGGCTTAGAGGAAAAATAAAACGAACATATAACTAATTTATTTTTTGTAATTAGTGAAATGTCTGTAAATCATACCTCAGGGCTTCCACTTTCGAGAAGAACTCCTTTCAGTTTTCCTGCAATAAAGCCACGTTTCGATTGTTCGATTTACGAAGCACACATGGACTCAATAGAATATTCCTTTTGATAAAGCCAGAGAGAGAGAGCAATTACCAGAGTCTATCCAAAATGTTGCAACTTTTGGATCGAAATTCCCGATTTCAACAGTCTCACCAACTGTTTATTTTAAGATGCAAATTAAATCATTAGTATTGTAATTAAAGGTTAGTATACCATTTAAAAAGTGGTACGTATTATTAATTACCATTGTCCCCGAAGAATTGCCACCATACTTTCCTTGGGCTGCCTTCGTATTCAAATACTCGAGAGTAGAAATACGGGAGATAGTCATACCTAAGTCAAAGACGAAAAAATAAAGGTCATAGAAAAAAAGACGAAATCTTTCAAATTGTTATTTTTTTAATACAAGATCTAATAAAAAGAAATATCCAACTTACGTGTCAGTGTGTGCAGTTAGTAGTGATTTAACACAATGCTGTGCTGACCGACGAGCATGGTCAACGTGCTCAACTCGTGTCGTTCGATCATAAATCTGTTACAATTATTTATTAAATAAATAAATCATTAGATTTTATCGAAATGTTTGTTGATCTTAAATTTGCATGAAAAAACACTACCTTCAAAGGGAAAGCTGCAACATCTCCAATAGCAAAAATTCCCGGTATACTTGTTCTAAACAGGCCATCAACCTGAAATTTTACTACAGGGTTAAAAATTGTACTTCTCTTTCTTGGCAAAACAACATGTCGTTAGGGGTTAAAATTGTAAATGCAAGTGTAAATGTTTGTTAAATTTGCACGATTTATTTTCTAAGGCACTTCATATAATTTCTCCATCCAAAAAACCATAACGGAATTCGGATTCCAAGGCCGAAATTTAACAGAGCGTAACGATACTAATAATTTAGCTTAGTACTCTACTTTGTGCAGAAATCTACAATCAGAAATAATAATTATTATAATAAGGGCAAATTACGACCAACCCCCTAAGGTAAGGTCAAATTACGAAAAAACCTCTCATGTTTGGGTAATTACAACCACTCCCTCATCTATGTATTGCCTTACACGTCCACCCTTACATTGTCAAATTTACCTACCGAAGAAGGGGGGTTTTCGTAAGAACATACATAGTTGAGGGGTAGTTGTAATTACCCAAACAAGAGGGGTTTTTTCGTAATTTGACATTGCCTCAGGGGTGCCCGTAATTTACCCTTATAATAAACATATTTTAAACTATATACATATATAGCTTAAACGATAATTGCAATACTAATAGTCCGCATATAATGTATAATTACCTGTATTCCACCCACAGTGTTGTTTAAACCAACACTTTCGAACGGACCAACAGCTGGTTTAGCTCCAATACCAACAACTACCTGCACATCAAAAGCATCGTAACATTAAGATCAATATTTATGTGAATTACCAAAAAAAAATTAATTTTTTTTTAATAAATAAATAACGAGCAGGATTTTGATTTTACCGTGTCTGCTTCGATGATGGAACCATTCGCAAGTTTAACACCAACTACATGACCATCGGAACCAGCTTCTAAATTACTTATGGAAGCACCCTGAGATCACAAAATAATTTTTTTTTTTAAGAAATAAAATTAGATTCCGTTTAGGAGTGTTCGTATTTTTCTTTGTTTGCCTTTTCGTTTGGGAGGTGCAAAGAGAAAGTAGAGTACTAACCTTGACAAATTTGACGCCGAAATCTTGGTATAGTTGTTCGTATTTTTGTGCTAGAGAAGGAGTAAACAATCTCGTCATCAAATGTTCTTCTGGGAAAATAATCTACATTAAAAAAAAATTTGATTACGTCAACATTTGTATATATAGTAGAACATCGATAAATTAATAACCTCGCTTAATTAATAATTTCTCCCGGTCCCAACTCGGTGACAACGTGCTAATTCGATAATTTAATATTACGCTAAATTAATAGAATTTTCATAGTCACAAGTCACAACTGTATTAGTTTATAGAAGTTTAAGTGTATGTATATAACTTACAGTGGTGTCGACTTTCCAAGCAACAGCTGCTGCTGCAACTTCCATGCCAATATAGCCACCACCAACTACCACAACTTTCTTTGCCTTCTCCTAAAAACCGCAAATTTTAAACTTAGTCACGAATTAACTAAATTTTAATAATTTCACAAAAAAAATAATAATAATAAATTTAAAAACAGAAATTGTTGAAAATTCGAGCATATTAAGTAAAAATTACCAATGATGATATCAGTGAATTGGCATCTGCAACATCGCGAACATAGTGAACACCCGATAGGTTTCCTCCGATTTTATCCGGAAATCTGAAGCCCATGAAAAATAAATATATTAATTTCATCAAACAAAATTTTAAATTAGATAACGTATAAGAAAAATCGGTGAAATATACCTAGAGGCAGTACATCCAGTAGCAATTATGAGGGATCCGAACTTGAGTAATTTTCCTGAACTTGTTTTCAATGTTTGCTTTTCGATATTAATGTCTGAAACTGGATCTTCATGCAGCATCTTCACATAAATGGAAACAGGGTTACAAAAAGTTTGTATTTAAAAAAAACACACTTATATATATATATATATATATATATATATATATATAAGTATATATGTTACCTCAATCCCTTTCTCCTTGTACCAATCAGGAGTCTGTCTTTCACCGCCTGAGCCAACACAAGTATGGAAACCCTAAACCAACACGAACATTGTACCAAAATTTAATCAATACATTCTTGTATTTCTAAAAATCTCCGTGAAATCGCATGTGCTACAAGTTTCTCTCGTCTTATACAGTTGTAAAATAAAACTAACTAGCAGTCTTGCTTTATCACTAAGTCTGTTTTAGGTTGTTTTTGGATGGAAAGATTGAATTCGATGTAAGGATTTCGAGCAATGTGAACACAGAAATTGGGTTTCATTTAAAAATAAATACATCGAAACAAGCTCAACGAATTCGTTATCGTTTTATACAGAATCCATAACTTCAGTTCCTTAAATCCAATCGGAAACTTAAAACTCTACAACCATGATCTGAAAATGTAATAACCTATTCAATTATCCAACACACACACACACACACATCCTCGAACTTGAAATGAAATTACGATAATAACATAATGCTCACCGGTAAACGAGCAGGCTTTTTATCATGAGGGAACAAGTAACCTTTCGTCAATGCTGGACGTTCATAAGGAGCATACGCCTGCATTTGAGCACCAAAAAAACAGATTTATCTATGCACAACCAACATAATTACGGTGAATTGAATCCTCGAAAACGGCGAATCGACTAAAGCCGAAACAATAAATTCACTAGACGGGTACCTCTTTAGAAACAATGCAAAGCTTTCCATCAGCCATGCCGTGTTCGACGAAAGTCCTAGCTGCATAACCGGCGGCATTTCCACCTCCTACAATCACAAACCTATAACCAACAAAACATCAATTTTTATTTATTTATTTTATTAGTATAAATAACAATAAATAAATAAATAAAGTCCAGAGTGATTACTCTCGATTTTCATTGGCGAACGATGAAGCGGAAACAGAGAACGATCTTCTCCGGAAATTAGTGGAGGAAATCGAACAAGGCTGAGAAATTCGGTTGACCGAAGGCGTTGACTGAGGGCACCAAAGAGAAAGGCCGTGCTTCAGAGACAGCGCATTTGAAATGCTCGCCATTGTTGTCACTTTACGAACTGTAAAACCCCCTTTCACAAACCCTCAAATTGTGAGAATAAATTGAATTTGAAATTGCGAGATGTAAGAGGAGAGAGAAAGAGAAGAGAAGAGAGAGAGAGAGATTGGACCTGAATACATAGGGGATCAAATGAGAGAGCGATGGGATTTATATGATATAATAATGGATGAAGGTTAGTTTATTGGGGAATTATGGCTCTTGCTGATGTTCAAGAGTCATGGGGTACTACTGTTTGTGTAGGTTGGTAGGTGGTATGGGGGTGGGGGTGGGGGTGGGGGGTGAGGGGGCGATTGCCGCAGAGAAAAGGGCGTCGGAATGGTGGAGCTGCAAGGGGGACAAAATTAAATTTCAGTTGATGATATTTTTGGACAGTGAAAACAGGGAGAAGTTTTCTCTTTCATGATCGATATGGGCCGCCATTAATGTTTGGATCTTCCGAGATAAAAACAAATTGTCGTAGGATCCAAAAGGCGGAGTCCTATTGGCCCATTTTTGTAGAACCAAATCCACTGCAACCCGTTTCTAGATTATATAGAATATTCTCCATTTTGTACTTGTTTTACGAATATTGTATGAAATTTAGAAAACTATGTTGAATTTAACACCGTTAGGGTGAACGTTAAAGAAAAGTCATAGTTTAAGGGGTGGTTGTAATTACCCAAACATGAGGGGTTTTTCATAATTTGACATTATCTCAGGGGTTGGCCGTAATTTAGCCTAAAAAAAAAAACTAAATATTATTTTTGTTCTGAAATATTAAAATGTGAAAATTTTAATATATAAACCTCAAATTCAGAAAATTAGAGTTCAGATACCAACATTAATCCTGTAATTATGTAATTATACTTATACTTGGCATTTTCAAGAAGCAAACAGATATGTACATCTCAAACTTGTGGCTTTTATAATTATGTGATAACAAATTATGTAGGTGCAAAAAACTAAACGTGTGATTAATAAATTAAACGGTATTAACTTTGTCAGCCAGTGAGCGTAAAATGCAGCCCAAGCCAGCTTTCTCCGTCAGCTTTTCATGGATTCTTAAGCACTGATCACACGTCGGGCGATCTCCAGTAGATAACCCTCTATATAAGTACCTATCAACCACATTAACAATGAATTAGTAAAACAGAGAGAAACCTAATCTATTAACGCCTCGTTTGGTTGGTAAGATAAGCCATGATTAATTGAATAATTAGGGAAAATGGCTCTTCTTCGCCTATTTGAATTATACAATTGGATTCTCGTAAGATTGCAAAATCTTATTTTGGCAAATCTTATCTTGGGAACCAAACGAGGCCCTTTGAAGATTCATCATGCTACTAGTATCTATTCATGACTAGTGAAGATAAAGCAGTATCTCAACAGCTAAAAATCATCATCATACATTCGCGTTTACGATTTAAGAGAGAATCGACACTGAAAATCAAATCAAATCCCATGAGTGTGTGCGTGTAAATCTCGAGGGCGGGCTTTGAGCCCCACCCTCGGCCTAGGACAAATTTGCCCCTGAAGCTAGAAATTATAACTCCTATCGGTTCAATAACCTGCAACGCAAGGAAGCTACACAAAGTAATCTTGCGTAGATAACTTATAATCTCTCTAAAGAGAAAGGCTACTCGAGCGCATCCGATACCTGCAACTACCCTTTTCAAGCATTTCGAGTTACTCGAACATACACATATACTTTGTTCTACCTCATGCTAATCGTCTCGAACAAAAACTTTCTTAAGCTATCAATGTTATTCTCTAACCAATTCAATCAACACTATCAAACCTCGTGAACGTTCATAAACGAGGCCGTAGCGGAAACTAGGATTAAGAAAATTAACACGACAGAATTCCAATCGATATGACAAACACACACATTAAGAATGTAATGGGGGATTTTGACTTACTTCATGAGAACATCATAGTACTCGGCATCAAGAGAAGAGAACAAACTATCGACATCTTTTATCGCCATTATCGCCCTATGTACCACAATCCAGTTCGCAGACTTCAAAAAACAAATTGCAGAAGAAAGAAAAATCCAATTTTCAATTTAACCTAAATTAAAAGATTTTGGGGGAAAAAAACCCTAAAATCCAAAACGAACTGAATCGAAGACAAACGCATATGCAATGATGCGTATTTGACCTTACAACGCTCGTCTTTGGTCTGGGGAGGGGATCCTTCGAGAGCTGTCTTCAAAGCTTCCACTGGTTTATACCTGAAATTCGAACAATCAATCGAATTCTGTAATTTAATTTTTCTGGGGTGTTTATTTTTGATGGGGAATCATCGTACTGTTTGAGTAAGCTTTCGATCTTGCCGGACTTGTGCTCGATCCTAGAAATTATGGCTTCTGCATTGTCTGCATCAACGAAATCCGCCATTCTTTTGTGACGTAAGCCTTCTTCAGTTGCTGCTGCTTCACGGAAAAAAATTGATGGGTTTTTTCGTAAATAAACCTTATCCGAGGGGGACTGTTGTAATTTACTTATTTTTAATGCATATGGATAAATTAGATAAATTTCATTTCATCCCAAGTTTTCAAGGGTAGTGTGGGCATTATGTAAAATATGTTTTATTTTTACGGTGAAATTGTGTCTGAAGGATGACATTGATCAAAATTAGAAATATATGGACTAATTTGATTTTGATTGTACACCTCAGGGACGAAAATGAATGTACCCTTATTACACTATACTTTAATACCAACTAGCTTTAAGCCATATTTTAATACTTGAAATATATTTATTTATTGGGCATAATTGTTGAATTATAAACACACCCCATTTTGACACATCTTTACCAACTGGCAAACATTACTATATTGTGTTTTTTTACTATAAAGAAGCTTATCAAAAGGACATAATTACCCTCGTAAAGAATTGCAACCTTGTTGATCAATCAATATTTTTCCAACTTCTTTTAATTTGTGTGTTATATATGATTGGTGTAAATCCAACATCTACTAATCTACAACATTTAGATAAAGATAAATTGTATTCATTTTTCAGAGTTTTAGTTACTGCAACGCAACGACACTCTTTAAATTTAGCTCCAGAATGGAAAGAAACATCAGAAAGAGCTACAAATTATCCAAATTCGAGAGGGATGGTCCATGATTATTCTAGAAGGAGATTGCAATAAGGTAATGGAAGCTGTCAAGTTGGTGGTTCTTATTTTCTTTTGTTCGGTGCGTTCATATTATAATGGTTCGTTATGACTAAGTCTTTCAGTTCTTGTATTTTTCCTGTTAAGAGATAAGACATCGTCTGTCTTGCTCACGCATTAACTTACTCTATGAGTTTTTAAGTACGGAAGGCTCACGCATAAACCCTAATTTGTCGTGTTTAGCCTAATAATATTGGTCTATTCAAGAAAACTAATTTGGCCACCAAGTATAAGATCATCATTACATCTATATAGTTATGTTTTGGGAGTTGAGTTGGTTTGGAAAAAAATATTTTAAGAAAAATTGATGTTTAGAAGTATTTTGATTTGTAGACTCTGACGAAGACAAATTTCAGTATAGCAGACTGTCATATTTTGGAACATAAATATTTAAAAAGAAGAATTTGAAATAAGAATAATACATATAAATATTTTCACCGTGACAATCAAACCATGTCTAGATATAGAGTTTTAAGAATTTCTAAATCTTAATTTTGAGATTGAAGTGATGATCTTAACAAACACATATATAAAGAAAAAGGCCAACTTGAATTGAAAAAATAAAAAATAAAAAGCAAATCGAAATAATTATTACATCTATTTAACAAACATATCATCACACACTAAATAGTAAATACACATTATCCAACCCCTCCACCAAAAGCAAAAATCAAATGATTGAAGAGGGGCAATTTCGTCAATGAAAACAAACGGTCAAATTTATAACACCTTTTTGAAATTTGCTTCACCCACTCCCCCTTCTTTTCCTCTCTCTCTCTTCTCTCTCTCTCTCTCTCTCACACACAGACACACTTCTTTCTTCTCTTTACCTTTGCAAATAAGTATCCTTTACTTCATCTTCACCCAATCTGCGAGTACTCAACAATGGCGGCAGCAGCAAATCTCGCCGAGAAACCCCATTTCCATTTTCCAGAAATACCCCCAAGCACACATCAAATTCCAAGTAAGTCCCACTCAAACTCCCTCTGCAAAACCCTAATCGTCCTCGTTCTCCTCCTCGCAATCCCCCTTTTTCCGTCACAAGCACCAGATTTCATCAGCCAGAGAATTTTCACTGAGTTTTGGGAAATCGCCCACCTAATTTTCGTCGGGATCGCCGTTTCTTACGGCGTGTTCGCCAGAAAAACCGCCTCCGAAAAAACCGTGAAGAATCCAACAAACGACGATTCCGATTCGTACCTGTCCGGCATTTCTCATCTATCTTCCGTTTTCGAAGACGACGGATTCGAAAATATATCCGTTGCTGCGGACGAGCGAGATTCAATTCAGAGAACCACAGACCAGATTTTATTAGGTGAGCAGAGATCTGTAGTTAAATTGGGCACAGAGATTCGATCTTCCGATCGAAACGGGGAAAACGTGAATCAAGAATGGCGTTCGCAGTACGTAAAAGGCGAGTCTTTAGTGGTTGTTTCTAACGGTAAGTATTTTCTTGGTGGGAGCTCTGATTTCAAGCCGTTGAATTTGCCCGTTAGGAGCTTGAGAAACGAGAATCCTCGACCGAATAATATACTGGAACCTAGTCGCGAAAACGGAGGCGCTGCTAAAGTTATAAAGATCAGAGGTGTGGTCCCCACGAATTTGCAGAAGAAGCTCGACGAAGCTGGTGCCGCGGGGGCCCCCTCGTTTATCCCGTGGCGGTCGAGATCTTTGAGTATGGAGAAAAACGGAGAAGAAACGAGCGAACACTTCTCGCGTTGCGGGCCCCACTCAATTGGGGGATTTGATTCCGAGCATCTCGAGTTTGCAGAGAACGATTCCAAGAACTATGAAGTGGGAAAAGGGAAACGGGCTATTGAATCTTCGGGCTCGGATATCAAATCGTACGCCGTTGATAATAAATCTTTATCGAGAGCTAAGTCGGTTAGAACAATCAAACCGAGTAGTCGACACATTAGTATGAACCGAAAGGAGCAATTTGGGAGGAGGGTTTGTCGTAAATCCGGAGCAGATTCTTCGGCGAAAAGGGAAAGCCGGGAGCAAAACGAATTCCCTCAATTCGAAAATAAAAAACGAGAGCTTGACGGTGTTTTTTTCCCTATGCCAAAGCCGAAACCGACTATATCCGAGTTTGACGATGAAGGGGAAAAAGAACAAGAAGAATTCGAAAGCGAAATAGAGCGCAATTCATTTTCCGACAAGGGTTCGAATCTAGATGATGCTGGTGTAGGTAAAATCGACGATGACGTGGAATTCGAAGGGAGCGAAGTGGATCGAAAAGCGGGTGAGTTTATAGCAAAGTTTAGAGAGCAAATTAGGCTGCAGAAGAGTTCATCACCAGCACAAGGAGGGAGGGTATAATAGAGCTAACATGTAATAAATTAGATTAAAAGGTAATTATTTTGATATTATCATCCTGGTTTTTATTTATTTATATATTTATTAGATTTAATAATTCATTAATGCTGATTGAAGATTGAAGAACATGCTTTTTGTGCATGAATGTAAATTAGCCCAGGTCAATTGTTTGTTTGAGTTTATTGCCTTTAATACCCCTGTGTTTATATTAAATTGCTAAAGACCCCCTAGAGGATGGGTTTTTGGGGTATTTCGTTTGTATTTATAGCATGGGGTGCTTTTTAAATAATTAAAGTAAACATAGGGGTGCTAAACACAATAAAACATATGCGTGACAACTAAGGAAAAAAAGGCCCAAAATAAAGATTAAAGTTATTTTGATCTCAATGTCTGGATTTAATTAATATGTATATAAGCAAGGTCTATGAGATGTTATACGCGCTGAAGTAGATCGAGTCATTTTGCATTATATATTTATGTAAATAATTATTCACTCAGTACGTATACACATTTGTGTGTGTCTTTATGTGTAGATTAATGGTGTAGAATTATCCAATATATTTTACTGGGTGTAATAACTACAGAACCGAATAAACAAGATCACATTCGATTTTATTTGGAGGACAAGTCGAACACTTGAATATATAAAATAGAAGCCAAAATATGTTATAGTGAATGAAATAATAATTGATAAAATATCAATTATTAATAATTATATATATAGGTCAATTATTTAAGACCCGTTATCCGATTCAAAATTGACCCATTTTGAAAATATACACACATTACCCGGACCCATTTAGACGAACCCGGCCCAACTGGAAAACCGATTGAAGTATCTTCTAAAACAAATTACCGGTATTTGTTTCAGAACAACTTTGTGGAAATTATAAGTTTACCCAAACAGTTCAGCTTAATTCCGTTTTGCCTACTGAAGCGTGAACAGCCATTGCATAACTGCTTCCCCTCTCTCTCTTCACTCTCTCTCTCTCTCTCTCTCACACACACACACACACTATGGCGCTAAAGTATAAATACAAACAACTGTTTGTATTTTCTGCACAATCGCACATTCACACATTTCACCACACTCTGAAATCCAGAGAATCGAGAGAAAAAAAGTAAAGAAGGCGTGCGTACGAGTCGAGATCGAAGGAAGAAGAAAGCAAAGGAAAAACCATGGATAACCGCAAGGAAAAGGATTTGAAGGAACTGTAAGTTACTTTTGAGAATTTTGATTTTAATTTTAGCAACAATCATGTATTTTGATGCTCCTTTCGTTGTAATTCATTGATTTGTGTTTTTTTTTTTTTTTTTGATAGGATGGAGAATGGTTTTGAGGTGGATTTGTCTATTTGTAGAAATAACTTGTTCGTCGTGAAGCTCCACGGACCCAAAGACAGTAATACTTTTTAGTGTTTTTTTTTTCCGGATTTTCTTTTTTCGATTTGTTGTCCTGAGTGTTGCATACCAAGTGTTTGATAATATAACAGCTGTTGATATTTGGATTGTTTGGATTCGATTCATTTGTTGAATCCTAAAATTGTTGGTATTATGATTGGGCAGATTAAAATTCTGCTGTTAAACGTGTTCGATATCAGGCTGATAGGTTATTGCGAGATTTGATTTTTCCGGATTTCTGAGTTTGCTTGTTTGAATTGATTCATTTCGCAGATCTTTATCTCTCATTTGAAGTTATTATTAGATTGCAAATTTTGGTTTAGATCTTTATCTTCAATTTGATAGGTCCTTATGAAGGAGGAGTTTGGAGGGTAAGGGTGTCGCTGCCAGATGAGTATCCAAATAAGCCTCCTTCGATCACCTTTGCCAGCAGGATTTACCATACGAATATCCATGAGGCGTGAGGATCTTATTTTCTCATCTCCAGATTTTTTTTTTGTTTTGTTGTTGTTTTTGAAGTTGCATGATTTTGTATTCGTTTCAGGTCTGGCCTTATCTGTTTAAATGTTATCAGCGAAGATTGGTCTCCCACATATAGTAAGTTTAATAGTCTTATTAGCATTCTTGGAGATCATTTTCCGAGCCCCTGAATAGACTGTCTCATTTCTCGAGTTCTTGTTTATTTTCTTTTCAGAACTTTTAAATGTGTTCCAATACTATCTTCCACAACTTCTATTGAGCCCAAATCCTGAAGACCCTATGAATAAAATTGCTGCAGCTAAGTTGGAAGACAACCGCGAGGCATACAATCAGTTTGTTAGAGGTAGAATTTCTTTGACTTAGATCTCTTACTTAGTTTGGTTTTTTAGTTCATCGATATGGCATTAAACTTCCAAAATGCTGATTTTCTGTGTTTGATTACCAAATTAGAAATGAAATTGTTCATTCGTCTAGTTACACGATAATAGCTCATTGTGAAGCAATTTTTGAATTTATAGAAACTGCAGTGTAGAAGGGTCTTTTTGGTTTTCTAAAATGTGTATGAAAATGTTTGTGAATTTTTCAATTTTTAAAAAATTGATTGTAATCTATTGAAGGTGAGATAGCTGTTAGTCCTTAACCTGGATTCAAAGACTTGATTAAATTCACAATGACTATGCCTTCATTTATATACGGCATTAGTCTGTAGTTATTTGTGATGAAATGGCGAATCATTTTTTTTTCCGCTTTTCTTATATCCGTGGATTAGTCACAGAATTTCGGAACCATATTTATATTGCTCAATATTTATAAGAAGAAAAAAAAGAAAAGCACTTCTCACAAAGCATTGAACACATAATCTGTCTTTATAAGCACTTCGAAGGAGTTGTGTTTGTGCTGCAAGTTTCAGAGGCACTTTTATTAGAAGGGAAATGAACGGAATTCTGGTTTTGAAGTATAAAAGCTTGTTATGACTGTGGTCAAATCTTTTATGCTCTATCTCGGGTGTGAATCCATCTATTTACCTATTGGCTAGCCCTTTGTTATATTCCTAATATGTTTACTTGAATTTTATATTTCGAACATAGAATATTTTGACTTGTTGCTAACAAACATGTAAGGACGTGGTGTAGTTTCAATATGTCTTATAATTTATTTATTATTATTATTTTTTGGAAGAGTCTAACGAGACATGATTGTGTTTCAGACCATTGCCAGAAACATGCGATGCCTGCTGAGGAGAATATATCTAGTAGTGCAGGCAAAGCTGGAAATACCGATGATGAGGAGGGCAAAGCTGGAAATACCGTTGATGAGGAGAGCAAAGCTGGAAATACCAATGATGAGGAGGACAAAGCTGAAAATACCGATGATGAGGAGGGCAAAGCTGGAAATACCGATGATGAGGGCAAAGCTGGAAATACGAATGATGAGGAGGGCAAAGCTGGAAAAACCGATGATGAGGAGGGCAAAGCTGAAAATACTGAAGACGAGGAGGAAAAATCTGGAAATACTGATGAGGAGGGCAAAGCTGGAAATACCGGTGATCAGTAAAACGGACTAGTCGAAAAAGGTTATCTGATAATGGTTGTTGATGTGAATAATAAACTGTGAATCCTATCATTCATCTCTTTGCAGTTCAAAAAAAAAACCAAAAGCAGAGAATTGTGTATCATTTTTAGCAGAATTAGACCTATTTCTGCATATATCGCCACTTATGCGAATTTTGATAAGAGTTTTATTTTTTTTGCGTTAATTGCTCATTGGGTTTACCTTAATTGTCTGAAACTATTTCTGTTAGCATAATATTCTATGATGATCGAAAGTCGAATGCAAATAAATAGTCTGTTTTCGTAATTTGAAGGAATGAAGGAATTTCTTCTTCTCGAAATTAAATTAACAAAAAAAGTGAACTCGTAAATTCCAATAATTAATAAAATAAAATAAATAAATGTACACAAAATGGAAAATGGTGAGTGATGGATCAATAAGGAAGTGGTGCAGAGTGTTTACAGACTTGAATATGATCAAGAACATCAAGAACCTCTGCTCTACTCTTCACTATCCTATGAAACACTTCCCTAACTTGCTGATTTAGGGGCCCCAGCCCCTCCTCCATCCTCCGGCATATCTCCCCCATCTCCGCCACCTTCACCGCCATCCCTGCCGCCTTCTCCTCTTCCATCGGGAACTCAAATCCGTCGGCAAATTCGAGTAGCGAATTGGCCACCTTCTCCATCTCTTTCAGCTCCTCCAACAATCCAGCTGTACCTTTCTTCTCCTTCTTCTTCCACTCTTCTCCTATTTTCTCCTGCAGCCCTATCAATGGCTGGGCCCACCCTAGATTCCTCGGAATATTCTGGAAATGCGTCGGCAGCCCGTTTCTCTCCTGACATGGGATTGCCGCCACGAGTGCCCACGTTATGAATACGATTAGTGTGTTCATTATGTAGACCGGCTGCGCCAGCCCGGTCGACTCGGCGCCACGTGGCGCAACCAGATTGGCTGACATTGTTTGGATCTGCTTCGCCGCCGACCAGGATTTCGACACGGACCATGAAAGTGACCGGAGGTTTTTACCGGTGGGGCGTTCTTTATTATTGGTGGTGGTGGCGGCGGCGGCGCCACGGCGGCTGAAGGAACGGGTTCTGTCCGCCCATTTGGTGGCGTGAGCGTTATTGGTGGTGGTGGTGGTGGCGTTGTTCTCCTTGTTGTCATCGGAGACCATGAGGGTTAGCAAGGTGGTGAGGGCCTTCTTTGCTCGCCGGACCTGCCCCTCTCCGACGGGATTCTGACTTAGGGATGTGACGGCGATCTGGGCGAGTTTGTGCCAGTGCTGGACGATATCGACGCCGTGGGTGACGGCGTTGCAGACGTCGAGGGCCTTGACGGAGCGTTCGAGGAGGTCCGGTACGAGGCGGTCGAGCGGCGGCCGTGAAAACTGGGCCGGGTCGCGGCCGGAGACGAGGACGGCCTTGAATTCCGCCTCGCAGCAGAGGAAGGCGTCGAGGAGGTTGCGCAGCCAGGAGATAGAGAGTATCTGCGGCGGCGGCGGCGGATGAGTGTGGTGCGTCTCGTGTGAGTCTGTGGTGGTGGTGGTGGTGGTGGTGGTGGTGGAAGGTGATAGAAGAAGGGAGAAGCGATCGGAGACGTGTCTCTGGAAGAGGTCAAGGTCAACGACTTCCTGGTCGTGGATGTGATCGACGGCGGCGAACTGGCTCCGGCGGATGCTTATGCGGTTCAGGAACGAGCCTTGATTGTGATCAGTCGCCGGCATTGTTGTTTTGATTTTTACAGATTGTTTTTTTGTTTTTATTTTTTTATTTTTTTGGTGTAGAGGAAAATGAAGAATAAGACGGTTTGGCAGTTAATTTAATATGAGCAGTAGTGGGTGATCGTTAACCTTTGTCGGGAACATGACCGTTTTTTCTATTACTTAATTAGTTTATTTTCGTCTGTGTTTCCTATTTTGCCCCTTGTATACATATTATTTGCAGTTTCGACCATTTGGTAAAATTATCTCAAAGAAAATATGATATTAGGCCATCTCCATCGGTTGTTTTAAAGTTGGTTGTCCATATCTTGAATTTGGCACAAATACATTGTTATGCACCATCACTTTTAATTGTATACTCCAATAACATTGTTTACTATTTAAAAAACAACTATATTTTATTATCTTTTCATATTTTAATTTTGAATTTTCCGTAATTTTGGAAATTAAAAGGGATGGGTTGTGATTGTTTTATTATTTTTTATTTTTGCCCAATTGGTTAAAGTTTAACTCTGGTTTTCCAAATTTGAGAAACTAAATTTACAATTTGTTAAAATTTGCATTTATCCATTAGGTTATTCTTAATTATCTACATTGGGTGAATTTAAATCTTAGGTTTAATTAGATAACTACCACTAGCACACATACATACGAGTGTGGCGTAATTATGTGTAGATCTACAGTTTAAATCCACTCAGTGCAAATAACTAGGTGTAACATCTAATTTCCCGATACTTACATATTGTGTTTTAGTTATCTTTGATAATTATCATGATATAAGCTTCAAAACAAAAGATAATTACCATGATATCCCTCTAAATTTGCTATAATAAAAATCTAACAAAAAGATAAAACTACCCATAACTCAAAAAATTAAAAAGTAAATAAAATTTTTTTTTTTGTGTGTGTGTGTGAAATTCGAATATTTGATTTTGATTTGGGGATAATTAGCAAGACCCCCCTCATCTAGGTAAATGAGTTAAGAAAACCCCCCCTCCCAAAAATAATTAGAGAAAACCCCCTTACCTAATATCCTACCCAAATATTATTTAATAATCCCCAAACCACCCTTATTATCCCTAACCCATTGCCGTTCTCTCTTTTTTTTTCTCGTCTTCTGCTTCTCTTCTGCCGTCTTCTTTGTTTTTTTTTTCTTTCTCCGACAAATCTTCTCATCACCGTCGCCGCCGTCGCCGCCAACCTGCCGGCCGGATCGTGATGGAGCTCTACGCCGACGTCGTTCCGAAGACCGCCGAGATTTTCCGCGCACTCTGCACCGGAGAGAAAGGAGTCGGCAGATCGATCTGGCAAGCCACTCCACTACAAGGGCTCATGCTTCCACCACGTGATCCCCAACTTCATGTGCCAGGGAGGCGACTTCACCGCCAGAAACGGCACCGGAGGCGAGTCGATCTATGGAGCCAAGTTCGCCGACGAGAACTTCGTAAAAAACAGGTAGAATATAGATGTGGGATGGTGATGCTGTGGTGTGGCGACGACGTGGTGACGATGAAGAACAGATCTAGGGTTGTTTGGTGGATTTTGGAGGAAGACGGCGCAGAAAAAAAAATTCGCGCAGGCAGGGCCCTTAATCGACTACGTGGTTTAATCGACTATGTTCAATAGTCGATTAAGGCTTAATCGACTATGTTCAGTAGTCGATTAAGGTTAACCGACTCTAGTTGTTCAAATTTTTTTTTTTGATTTTTTGTTTATTGATTCCAATGTATAAATCAATTACAATGTTTGTATTTTTTTAAAATATAATTGATTTTGCATTTTTTTTTTAATTGTGATTTGTTATTTTTAATAGCTAAAATTTTAATCGACTATGTATTAATAAACCTGATAGAGAAAAAAAAATTAAAAAAACAAAAAAAAAAAATTAAAAACAAAATTAGAAACAAAAAAAAAATTAAAAAATTAAAGATTTTCCTTAATCGACTATGAAGCATAGTCGATTTAAGACTAATCGACTATGCTTCATAGTCGATTAAAAAAACGGAAAAAAATAAAAAAATCGCGGATGAGGTGGCGGGCGGCGGGGGTAAAGCTGGAAAACATAATGATTGGAAATGGGTGTGGACTTTTCTCAAATGGACTAAAATATTTTGGGTCTCCCTCAATTAAAAAAAGTAGTGAGGAGTTTTCTCAAATACCCCTTTGATTTGATTTATTTTTTGGAAAGTAATATGTAATGATTATTGATGAGCCATTTGTTGTTTGCACATGCATGAAGTAGGCTTTTGGTAAATAATCTTACAATTTGACGGAAAAGGACAAAATGAAAAAATACAAATTGCAGAAGCGCGTTGCAAAAGGCAAAAACTGAGGGGCAAAAACGCGTTTTTGTTCCCCACACATGTTAGTGTGTGTGGTCACGTTACATTATCAAATTTTAATTTTCTCCGCAGATTATATATATAAAAATGCCAAAACACAATTCTTCAATTATTTGATTTATTACCACTTTTAAATGAGGCATGTCTGGATCATAATTTGGTGCCACGTTGTGGTTGCCACAATATTTTATGTTTACATAAAAAATATTTGTCCCGTAATGGATGACCTAGCGATCGGAGTAAGTTAACTTATTTCAGTTGATCCATGTTCGAATTATCTTATCAATAGTCGATAGGTCGAGTTTATCACACATTGTTAGCCTAGTGTAATGGATTGGCCTAATGGTCGGAGCAAGTCAGCCTGTTTCAATTGGCTCAAGTTCGAATCCCGTTAGCAACAGTCATTAGATCGAACTTATCACACATAGTTAGCCTAACGAGACTTACGTAACGCCTCTCATATCGTCTGCGGACTGAAGTTGGTCAACGCGTTGAATAAACTTACAAGACTAAGTGGTTCAACACAATTCCACACGATGTGCAAGTCATAAGATCCAATAAAAAATAATTTGAAAAAATGATACTATAGATTGTAGTAATGCAACATTTTTTACCTTCCAATTTTTATTTATATTTTAATAGAGAATTAATCAACACTCCCACTATACTTGGTTCGACAATCCCATCTAGAAAAAAGTTCAAAAGATTTGATTCTCAAAAGGTTAATTAGTGGATACACATAATATTTGTTATAAAAACATTTTTTTTATTACAAAGTATTATGTTAAATGTTTTTTTTTTTTTGTTGATGTAATAAAAACTGAAAAATGATGGAGGTTTGGAACTTTTAGATAATATGAGCGATTACCGGCCGCCCTTCACACGTAATTATGGTGATCGGCCGCAGTCTATGCTATATATGGCGTAACATATTAGGTGGTTTTGAACCGTAAATCTATATAAATAACTATTCATTTAGCGCACATATACACATGAGAGTGTGTGTGTTATTATGTACATATTAATGGTTTCAGATCACTTGGTGTATTTCATCGGGTGTAGCATCTACAAAATCGTCGAAAACTTATATTATTTCGAGTGCCACCCGAAATTCCAGGTTATAATTTTCCTCTTTTTTTTTTTTTTTTGTATTAATTTAGCAATCACATTGAATTGAATTGTTAAACATATGGATGAAAATAGACTTACATCGGATCAATATTAGCACTTGCGAAAAAATTCAAACCAAATAGATCGGATTGAAATTAACACTTTCGAAAACATAATCAATTAAGTTTCGGATATTTCCAGTTAAATTTTCAAAAAATATTCCAATTGCGGGTTTTTTTTGTAATTTCTGAAATTTTCGATTATCCGAAATTGAAGTTCGAGCTTAGTTTTGTGAAAAATAAAATGATAAACGAATCTAATGGGCCTTGGCCCAATAGTTGTGAATACTAAATTTTGAAACAATTGGAAGCCCAATTCCGTGTGTTCTTACCTGTCTGGGCCCAATTAAACTAATCAAGCTTAATTAAAAGTTACAAGTTCATATTAACCTAATTACAAGGATAAGTAGCCCTTAATCTTTGAAACTAGAAGTAATTGACCAGAATTTTATTAATCGTTCTTACAAAAAATCTCCAAGTTTTTTTGGACTAAAAAAGATTGACTCTAGTGTTAGATTGTTTTTGCCGCGATCAAATTCTGGTGTCGTAATGATTATTTATGACGCATTTGGCTCGTTCAATTACCTCTATCAGATTAGTTTGGATTAGTTACCTCTACTGACTAATTAGTTATTTAGTTAGTAAGAAGATTGATTTATTGGGTTTGATCTTGTATTAAGGCCTCGTTTGCTTGGTGTTATTAAGTTCTATTAACCAAATAGTATAGGCTAATAAGATGTCTGGTTGATAAGATTCATATTTAGTCAAGTCCGCAATTAAATGTTACTATGTGATTAAATTAGTAGCACTCTTCCCCATGCGATTAATTTTGTAATTGTCCTTAAAATAATATCTTAATTGTATAAATTAAAAGACTTTTTAGACATTTCACATTTAATAGTGGAATTTAACAAATTTAATACTAGATTGAATCTAAATTTTACTGGATACTAATTCAATCTCGCCTAATCCCATGCAATCCGATATAGGTACGCTAACGATGTTAAATTCTGGTATTTTATGTGATTTGTCTATAAAATCTGTTATTTAATAAAATTAACATGTAGTTTGATTGATAAAATTGTCTTTACTTCCCGTATCAAATTAATCTTGTGTAGGGGCGCTATTAATTTAATAAAATAGTAGCATTTACTAACAGACTTTAAATTTAGTAACAAATTTAAAAAAAAATATAAATTTTGTCAAACAAACATGTTACTAACCTCTATTATTTAGTGAGCAAAACTTAGTAAAAGTATATTATCCATTAATGAAAGATATTTGACATTGACAAGTACCACTATAGATCCATTCACACATTTATATATAATAAATACTGAACAAAATCAAACCACACATTTTTTCTTAATTGATGTACATGAAACTTAATACTTATTTACACACATTTATATTGCACATTGACAACTATTAGTACAGACAAATTACGGACACATCTAAGGTAAAGTCAAATTACGAAAATAGCCTTTTCATTTGGATAATTACAATTATCCATCAACTATATATGTATTGTTTTACACGGATGTCAAATTTACCAACTGAATGAGGGGTTTATTCATAAGAAAATACATAGTTAAAGAAGGTAGGTTTAATTACCCGAGGAAGTTTTTCGTAAATTGACCTTACCTCAAGGCCTTCGCTGTAATAACTCAGAATACTTATTACTTGCTTAGAATTAACCTATAAATAACTCAGAATAATCACAGAAGTTAAAAATTATATATAATGGAACCACCAGTAACAAAATCTTCCAGAAACAATTCTGTCAATTAAAAAGAAGATGGTTCAATTCAACACATCAGTTTCAACTGATTTCAGCAAAAGCAAAAACAAAAACAATAAAAAAAGAAAAACTAAAAATAAATAAATAAATAAAATAAAAATTTAAGAGCATAAATCAAACTTCCAAACAGAAGAGATGCAATAATTAATACTTAAAATCTGAATTTTCTGATCAAGTGATCAAAGCTTCAATATCTTGTGTCACTAGATTACGAACGGCGAATCGCAAGTGCAACGCCATGTTATCGACCATCCTCGTCGAAACCATCTCCCAATAAGCTCGAACCCTCGTCGCCACATCGAACGCCTCCTCTTTCAAACTCGTCTCCATCTCACGGAGATGAACGCCGTCGGCATTTCGAAACACGCCGCCGCCAATATTATTGCCGCCAAAGGCTTCCAAGAACTCATCCTCATCGGCCATTAGCTTCCTATACAAAGCGGAGTAGTGCTCGCGATGACACGTGTAATCGGCGAGCTTCATCTCCATCTCGACGGCATCCTTCGCCCAATCAATTGATTGTTTCTTCTTCATTGCGATAAGTTTTTGGGCCTTTCGTTTTACGAGCGGAAGGAATTCCGGGTGGTTTTCGTAGTGCCTTGATAAGACGCGTACGAAAACTCTCTCCACGTAGTCCCATACGTTCTCTATGAAAATAAACGATATAGGATATATAGCCTCCATCTTGTTCTCAAGGATAGCACGGAAATCCGATATCGATTCCTCAAGAACCCTAATCTTGTCAATCAAGGACTTTGCGAAACAATTTGAAATGTCTTGAGCATCGGGTTTCAGAGCCTCGGAGTACATGTTGAGCATTTCAGCCAATCGAGCGGTGCAATGCATCGCGTTTTCATCCGGATATTCGCCGAACTCCCCTTGCAAAAGAATCTTTCTCAAGGAATCTTTAGCATGATCAAGAATATGCTTGTATGTGGTGCATGGTTGACTAAAAGAAGTCAACTTCTCGTTGATCTTCCTAACAATTTCGGGCAAAAACTTAATGATGATTCCGGCTTGAATACATACCAGCCATTCGGCTAAAACAGGAATCCCGACTATGGATTTATCGATCTTCGAAAGATGGGGATGAGTATCGAAGAGCCTAGCTTCTTCCTCGCGAGCTTCATCGAACGACTCGTCGCCGATACGGTTCCTCACGCAGACGTAACCGAGGCCGATGCTGACGTCATCGGCGGCGACCTTATCGAGCAGTCCTTGTGGGGATTGATCGGCTCTCGTGACGACAGCTAGGGTTCTCCGACCGGTTCGATCGACTTTCTTAGACAGCCTTATCGACTCACACGTGCAGAAATCGACACTCGCCGGCAAAACATTGAGGATTATACTCTCTTCCGGTGTGATAAACTCCATTATTATTTTGGAGATTTGTTCGTGTATATCCTCGGGCTGCCCGTGAACCGGAACCCTAGTGATTCCGGGCAGATCAACAATGGTTAAATTAGGGACGCCGTTCTTTTTCACGACTAGGGTTATGGGGTTATTGGAAAGACCTTTTCCTTTGCCGGCGATTTCTTCGGTGGCGAGGCTGATGGCGGCGGAGACGTGTTGTTCATCGGTGGGTACGGTTTTTCCGGCGAACTCGAGGAAGAGTTCAGGGTTAAGGTTTGGGTGGTTCTGGAGACGCATGATGAGTGGGACACGTGTGCAGATGGGTTGGCCTCCTCTGGTGCTGAGGCTGATTCCGGCGAGTGACTCGAGGACGCTGGTTTTGCCGGAGGACTTGTCGCCGATGACGACGACGGAGATGGTCGGGAATTGGACGCCCTCTTTCATGATTTTCACGTGTCGGATTCTAATTTTTGTATTTTTGTCGGATGTTTTGTTGTTCTTTCGTAGAAGAAATTAAACAATTTTTGAAATCGGTTTTCCAATCCCTTTATTTATAGTTATCATATCCCTAAAATATAGGAAAAATAAAAGGAGAAGTCGAATTATATTGGGTTTGGTTTTCTCGCAAAAGTGACGTTAAATTACAACTACATCTGAGCTATAGTTTAATTACGATAAAAACCATCTTGTAATAGTTATTATATCCTTTGATATATGTAATTGGGCCAACAATTTCTTTATCTAATGGGCCACGAACTCAATATTTAAAACCTCTATCACCGAAGCCCAATCACCTTCAAGTAAGGTTTGGGTCCGACAATCTTAACTAAGCTATAAATAAATGTTTGAACTCATTCATTAACGTACGTCATATTTATCTCAGTAATACTATAACATGTATTCTCTGGACTATTTCCACTATCCGCACGTCTGACTTGAGCATCGGAGTGGTTTCCGCCGGATCAACCCAGGCTTAGTTTACGTGTTCTACGATCGCAGGTATCTCAAGGTCATCAAACTCGTGAGCCAGTGATCCACTATGCTATTCCAGCTCATCCTACTTCAACTCTCTAAGATGATCTATCTCTAGCATCATCATCCCTAGTTAGTAATGATTGAGGCCTTTTTTGCATTAATTTGGATTTTGGGTGGACTAATTAATAAATATCGGATGGGCTTAATTGATATATAGGCATAATATGGGATAACATTTATAATTTAAGGGTGGGCTTGAGTCCACCCTCCCAAAGGGTGGACTCGCCCCTGCCTATAATGGATGGTCCAGTGGTCGGGGCAAGTTAGCTTATTTCAATTGATCCAGGTTCGAATTATCTTATTAACAATCGATAGGTCGAGCTTATGACACATTGTTAGCCTAGTCTAATAGATTGGCCTAACGGTCGGAGCAAGTTAGCCTATTTTGATTGGCTCAAGTTGGAATCTCCTTAGCAACCGTCGTTAGATCGAACTTGTCACACATGTTTAGTTTAGTGAAGCTTACGCCTCTCTTACCGTTTACAAACTATTATATGAGATCAATGCGAATTTATCACCAGAGTTGGTCAACGCCTTGAATAAACTTACAAGACTTGGTGGTTCAACACAATTCCACACGATGTGCAAGTCATAAGATCCAATTAAAAATATTTGAAAAAATAATACTATAGATTGTAGTGATGCAACATTTTTTACCTTCCAATTTTATTTTATTCTTTTTGCTTTATTTTGAAGTTGTTAAAGAGATAATTAATCAACACTCGCACTATACTTGGGTTGGACAATCCCATCTATAAAAAAGTTCAAAAGATTTGATTCTCAAAAGGTTAATTAGTGGATACACATAATATTCCTTATAAAAACATTTTTTTATTGCAAAGTATTAATGTTAAAAGTTGTTTTTTTAGTGACGTAATAAAAACTGAAAAATGATGGAGGTTTGGAACTTTTAGGGTAGCTAATACGAGTGATTACCGGCCGCCCTTCACACGGAATTATGGTGATCGGCCGCAGTCTATGCTACATCAGTGTAACATATCAGGTGGTTTTGAACCGTAGATCTATATAAATAACTATTCACTTATCATATATACACATGAGTATGTGTGTATGTGTTTGTTATTATGTACATATCAATGGTTTCAGATCACTTAGTGTATTTCATCAGGTGTAGCATCTACAAAATCATCGATAACTTATATTATTTCCAGTGCCACCCAAAATTCCATGTTACAATTTTCCCCTTCTTTTTTTTGTGTGTATTAATTTAGCAATCACATTGAATTGTTAAACGTATGATGAAAATAGACTTACATCAGATCGATATTAGCACTAAAAAATTCAAACCAAATAAATCGGATTGAAATTAGCACTTTCGAAAACATAATCAATTAAGTTTCGGATATTTCCAGTTAAACTTTCAAAAATTATTCCAATTGTGGGGTTTTTTTTTTTTTTGTAATTTCTGATTATCCGAAATTGAAGTTCGAGCTTAGTTTTGTGAAAAATAAAATAATAAAAGAATCTAATGGGCCTTGACCCAATAGTTATAAATACTAAATTTTGAAACAAGTGGAAGCCCAGTTCCGTTTGTTCTTGCCTATCTGGGCCCAATTAAACTAATCAAGCTTAATTAAAACTTAAAGTTCATATTAACCTTGCACCAAAAGACGAAATCCCTCGCCCCCAGGGCCCCTGGCCCGACAAGGATTGATGGAGGAATGTACAACATGGTAACTCAACGGTGCCCACAAGGAACCAACCCTCATTGGAGTTGAAATTCCCAGACTGCGGCTGTCAGGATTCGATCTTAGGACCTTCCACCAACTTACCACCTCCGGAACCAACTTTAATCTTCGAAACTAGAGGTAATTTTGATCATCGTTTTACTAATCGTTCTTACCAAAATTCTCGAGGCTTTTTTGGAGTAAAAAAGATTAACTAACACTGGAGTCAATCTTTTTTACTCCAAAAAAGCCTCGAGAATTTTTGTTTTTGCTGCGATCAAATCCTGGTGTCGTAATGATTATTTATGACGCATTTGGCTCATTCAATTACCTCTATCAGATTAGTTTGGATTAAACGAGATTGCACTAATTATCTACTGACTAATTAGTTATTTAGTTAGTAAGAAGTTTGATTTATTGGGTTTGATCTTGTCTTAAGGCCTCCTTTGCTTGGTGTTATTAAGTTCTATTAACTAAATAGTATGGGCTAATAAGATGTCTGGTTGATAAGATTCGTATTTAGTCAAGTCCGCAATTAAATGTTACTATTTGATTAAATTAGTAGCATCATTCCCCATGCGATTAATTTTGTATATTTGTCCTTAAAATAATATCTTAATTGTGTAAATTAAAAGACTTTTTAAACATTTCACATTTAATACTAGAATTTAACAAATTTAATACTACAGTAGAACCTCGATAAATTAATACCCGATAAATTAATAACCTCGCTTAAATGATAAATTTTCCCGGTCCCGACATGGGGATAACGTGCTAAATTAATAATTCGCTAAATTTATAAGATAATACACATTAAAAAATGTTAAGAGGCACCATATAATAAATAAATTAATAATGCATAAAAATAATTCTTAAATTACATGGTACAGTACATATTTTATAGATCTATAAAGGTTTAATATAATATAATTTAATTGTTGCTTGTTTCTTGTTGAAGTTCACATCACCATCAATCTCGTCTTTCACTTTTCTTAAGATGGTTAGAACTTTCGGTATAGTTTTCTCATAACTCACCATAAAGTCGTTCTATAAAGAGCTTCCGTTCGTAAAACGGACTCTATAGTGCATTGAACTAACCGTACAATGAATAATATACACGTAAATTTAAAAAAAATGTATTTATTGAAAATAATAATAAAAGTAATTTCATAAATTAATAAGTTATTAATTAATATATAAATAATAATTATTAATTTATCGATAAGTTAATATTTCGCTAAATTAGTGAAATTTTGATAGTCCCAACTGTATTAATTTATAGAGGTTTAAATGTAGATTGAATCTAATGAATCAAACATCTTACTGGATGCTAATTCAATCTCGCCTAATCCAATGTAATCCGATATAGGTACGCTAACGATGTTAAATTCTGGTATTTTATGTTATTTGTCTATAAAATCTTTTATTTAATAAAATTAACATGTAGTTTGTTTGATAAAATTGTCTTTACTTCCCCCTATTAAATTAGGGGCTCTTTGAGAAAACCCGCTCACTACTTTTTTTAATGGAGGGAGGCCCAAAATATTTTAGTTCATTTGAGAAAAGTCCACACCCATTTTCAGCTATTATGTTTTCCAGTTTTACCCCCGCCCGCCACCTCATTACTGGGTCACGCGCTCCTTTCCGAATTTATTTTTTTTCCGTTGGCGAGGCTGATGGCGGCGGAGACGTGTTGTTCATCGGTGGGTACGGTTTTTCCGGCGAACTCGAGGAAGAGTTCAGGGTTAGGGTTTGGGTGGTTCTGGAGACGCATGATGAGTGGGACACGTGTGCAGATGGGTTGGCCTCCTCTGGTGCTGAGGCTGATTCCGGCGAGTGACTCGAGGACGCTGGTTTTGCCGGAGGACTTGTCGCCGATGACGACGACGGAGATGGTCGGCAATTGGACGCCCTCTTTCATGATTTTTCACGTGTCGGATTCTAATTTTTGTATTTTTGTCGGAGGTTTTGTTGTTCTTTCGCAGAAGAAATTAAACAATTTTTAAAATCGGTTATCAAATCCCCTTTATTTATAGTTATCATATCCCTAAAATATAGCGAAAATAAAAGGAGAGTCTTCAACAAGAATTCTATCAAAAAAAGAAGTCTTCAACTAGAAGTTATTAACTAACGAATTATTTCTCTTGGCAATGGTGGTCCGCTGGAAGTTGTGGGAGGTGCGGAACAATGACGTGCATGGGAATCTTGGAGTTGGAGTAGGTGAGCTGGTGTCGTGGAGTGAGAGTTATTTGAAAGTCTTCCATCAGGCTCTCAGTCCTAATTTGCCTGCTACGATTTTGGAAAGTCAAACGCATTGGCAACCTCCCATGACTGGTATTGTTAAGGTCAATTTCGACGTTGCACTACCACCAAACTGCGACTTTTATAAGATGGCGATTGTAGCGAGGAATTCTCTCGGCCAAGTTTTGTGGTGGAATGTGGTTAGGGTACAGGGAATAGTGAGCCCAGTCGAAGGCGAAGCTAACGCGGCGCTCCAAGCGGTCCAACAAGCGGCTACACATGGATGACCCGATATTATAGTGGAATGCGACAATTTACAGGTTATCAAATGTATCCATGAAGATGAGAGTTCCCTCACTTCTTACGGAGCCTATCTAGAAGACATTAAAAATTCTTGCCATTTCTTTTCGTAATTGTTCTTTCTCATTTGTAAAGCGTGGTTGCAACCAACTCGCTCATGCTATTGCTACCTCTTCAGTTTTGGATTGTACGAAAGGATATTCTCTTCCTTCTAATTTAGCTGGTTTAGCCTAATAAATTTCGTTTTTT